TAAAGGGTCTAAGATTCGTACCATCTCCTCGGATACACCCAAAAATCAACAAAATCACGAAGTACCTCCCTCTTCTCCTTGTCGCACTCAATACATTGCTAGCGCTGATAACTTTCCTTTCCTTCATGGAACTGGAGATAACAACTCGAGGGTTCGCACCGCCTCTTCAGCTTCGAGCGTGACTTCGAAGTCGGACTCTTCCAATGGTAATGTCTTGTTCTCTACTTCCTATTCAGCGGCTCCTAAGGAATGATTTTAGGCGAAGAAGAAGGTGATCATGCAGAGGTGCTTCTAATCGAAGGCGACAGCATTGCTGAGTGCGACGAAATAGAGGAGGACAACGCTAGTGAACATCAAGATCAGCCCACTTTCTCTGATAATGGTTAGTGGAAATGTAATCCTTGTTGTCTCTAAACTGTGAAATTGTACTGAAATCACTATCTTTACCCAGACGAGAGTGGACAAAATGAGATAGAAGATGGAAAAGAAGAGGATACCAACGGGAGATGCCTAGAGACGAAGCAGCTTACTCTGCCGTATGCTTCGGTTTCTAGGTCATCAAGAAAGACAGTGTATAATGAGGATGGAACCGGTCCAGCTTCTTCGTCTTCTTCCTCCTCCTCTTCTGCTGCTACAATGGCTTCACTTGGGGCTCTAGGTCTGGGGAAGCGCCTCAGTGAAACAGCTGGAGGTGAGGTGGTCGACAAAAATGTCCAAATCACTTCTCGAAGGGAGACAAACGATTGTCCATCCACGTGGTCAGCGTCAAGTACAGATGTAGAAGACTATTTACGTCGTTTTCGGCAGGAGTTGGTAGATAAGTACAAGCCTTCGACCATTGTGACACCCAGTCAAAAGAAATTGATGATTTCCGAAGAAGAAGCTGAGACTCTAACCTCTCTTCAAACTCACGCTTGTGTTGTGCGTACAATACCAGTGGCAAGCATGGACGAGTAAGTTGCATTGCCTACTTCACTCACCTCTCTCCTAGTCGAGGAACCGAAGCCGACGCAGAGTCCGCTGATTATGACGAACCAACAGGAGTTGGTGGTCCGCTGGACGAGGATTCAGCATCAGAAAGTGCAACCATCTCAATGCAAGCACCCAAAAGTTTTCTGCCTAATTGTTCACAGGACGCGGCATGGAGGGATGCTAACGCTCCTGTACCACACTGCCACCTGCAAGCGCTTAAACTAGCTAGGGAGGCGGCAGAGTCTGTCAGACTTCAAAACCCTGCTCGGCTAACCTCGGCATCACGGCCTCTGGGTCAGGAGTTTGTTGAGGTGAGGAGAAATTCTCATATACCGTCGAAATACTTGTGAGATGGCCTTCTTTGACTATCGATCTTGGCTTTGCTTAGGATCCAATTCGTCAGAGGATTCATGCCAATCTGTCTAGTCTGGTGAGAAAGACCAATCTAACAACAGGTGATCGTTTGCAGCGATCAGAGGCTACGGCAGCAGCAATTTTGAAGTCGACGCCTCAGGACGACTCAACAGTGGCATCCACCTCGTCTTCCTCTGCCACCTCGGTGCAGCTGTCATCGCGTTCGCTGGCTCGAGCAGCGCGTATATTTGAGATGAAACTCTGATCACATCCTGTGCTGCTGCCTTTCAGTTTGTTTGCCCTCTAACTCATACATACCAATGATGGTGGTGACGATGGTGTGCCAATTAATTTTTTTAATAAAAGTCGCCCAATGTCTTATCAATCAGGAAATTTGAAGTACAAAAGTCTCATGAAATTTAATCTAACGTTACGGTAGCGGCAAATTCGTATTCACAAGGATAGCAGTGCAAGGTTGTTTAGACGTACGTTGTAAGCCTGTTTCTCGTTGTTACAAAAAGGCAGAGCTTTAATGTGCCATCGAGGCGTCACAAATGCCATTTGTGTCAAGCAATGCCCACTGAGGGCGTTGGATGCGGCGCAGTAAGAGTTGAGGCTGTTCCAATCTCCCTAAATGATTCTAATTTGCATTTACGGAAGTAAAAAAACCATGCGGTTTTGCGTCAAGACTATCTCCACGTCCTCCTCCTTTTCGAAGGAAAAGTGAGGTTCGATGGATTTCAGCAGAGCAGCAGGTTACTGTGGGCAAGTTTATTTACATGGACAAAAGATCAGGCCGATCATGCGAAAGAGAGAAATTGGTGAAGAAGATGTCATAGAAGGTGATGAGCGTTATCCAACTCAGAGTGATGAAGTTGCATCTGTTCTGAGGCCTGTACCGAGAGGAAAATGACAGGTAGGACGATGGAAGGGCGCAAGAGGGAACAAAACGTTTGAGACGGAGGAGTGGGTGAATACCAAACCTGGAGAAGAGATCAGTGAATTTGAAGGAAGAGGAGACCATCTCTTACCGCAAATGCATTGCACACGTCGATGGGATTTTCATCTCTTGTATGGCATCCAACTGTGTACCTCGACCCCCATTAAACATGGACCGAGAATAATGGAGGAAGGGGTAAGCTAGTTGTAAAACAGCACTTCAAAATCACTGTTTATGCGATCCGACTGACTTGTAGGTATCCAACTTACTCATCCATTACAACATCACAATAAGTGTGAGAAGGGGCCACGCCACCAAGATCCATGACAAATGCCATTGCTAAGACACCATAGCCCGAGTGTTGACAAGTGAATAAAAAGGCGGGAAAAATTAATGTATAAATTTGCTACACCGAAATGCTGTTCTTGCAAAACATTGGCTAGAGGTATTTGACGCCTCCGAGGCATGAAAGTGTCGAGGCTAGTGAGGAACGCGCAAAGGGTACCCATACTGTCACCGCATCTGAACCTTTCACCACTTAACAACTAGTCGCCGGCCGGTGTAAGCGAGGATGGGTCTGTAGCATGTCGTTCGAATGCATGGCAGAGCATTTTGTCACCTCGTTTTAGGCGCAAGAAGTGGCAGTGTTGCTAAAGGTGTTAAGCTTCGCACCAAGCCAAATTCGTCCATAGCCGAAAGGGTGGACATTGGCATGTGTCCCATCTTCTTTGACACCAATCTAATTGCAGTGAAGGAATTCGAATGTCTGGTTCGAGTATGGCAGTGGTGAGGTCGAGTTAGCTGTACATCTAATGGTGCATACGTCATAAAGAGTGCCCCATTTTCACCGCCTCAACATGGATGGTAGAGCTCTGTGGACTACAAATGAGGTCGCTTCTCCAGCACCTCATCCATTCTTCTCCTCTCTTTTGCTTACCTTAACTTGTTTGAGTGAAACTCCCTCAACGTAGTCACAGTCAAGACCAATGCACATCGATAATGTGTTCCTCCATTTCGCCGCCGGAGGATGTCCCATTTTACAGGCCATGAGGATGTTATCGTAGCTCTACCCACTATTGCCACTCCGTTCGAAAAACTAAGCAAAATACCCTCCAAACTAGTGGTGATTAACACCGGTGGTGGGAATGCAGCGATGAGGTAGGTAAGATGAGCAGAGTGCCTTTTTAATACCCTTCTGCATTGTGCTGAACGCGGTCTCAAAATCGTCTGGGAGAGGAGAAGTGTAAGGAGGAGTGCAACTTGAGAGGAAACACAGCGCGCGAGCTTCTTGTGCTCCAGCAACCCAACCGCCCTCCGATGTTTAACATGCTCTTTCAGTTGGTTGCATTGCGTCTCTACTTTCCCAGATGTGGCAGATACGCTGACTACACTTCTGCAGCGGTATCGTCCTCTTCGTTGACATTGTGACCAATTCCTCCTACCATTTATCACCGTGTAGAATGGTAGCACAATGCAGAAGCATAACTGCGTGAAGTGTTTATTCACCGCACCTTCACATGGACAATGTTAGGGAGGTAGTCTACCTTCCTTCTTCCCGACTAAGTCTACCTCCTTTTCCATCTCCATCACAAGCCATTGCTCTGGTGAAGGTGGTAGTTATCGAGGTAATCAAAATTGGTGTGTAGTCTGTCTACTGTCCACCATTCCCTTCCCACCAACACCCGCAACGCCGCTTCCCTTCCTACATTTCACCCTCTTTATAGCCCTCCATTGTTTCATCCGTCCTACCACTCCCTCCGCCAACTCACAGAACAAATGCAATGCTGTCACCTTCTAAAATTCCGCTCGGTTCAGTGGTACCAACTGCTTGTTCGTACAAGCTTCTACTAAGGATAGAGAGAGAGGCGACTGAAGACTGGAGGCATGATGTTGTGATGCGCTTTCAGTGTGGATACTTGCCCTTCCAGCATCCTCCTGTGGTGAGGACAGTTCTCCCTACTCCAAACCACCACCTCTCCTTCTTCAATTTCCCTGAACGCCTTTATCTCCACCCATCTTATCCTTCACTTCCACCGCAGGACATTGGATGGACGGAGTTTCTCATTCTGCGTCTAGCAATCACATGCAACGTTGAGTGATAAGAGAGGTGAACAGGACATTGAGGAAAATGCGAATTCACGTCGAACCACCCGGCAGCAATTGGAACATCATAGAGGCAACTGAGAAAGCGAGAGCGAAGTGTGTGAGTGCCATGCGATCAGCGGTGGTCAAAACAATCAACCTCTCACAGAGTGCCTTTAATGATCCACTTGCCAGTTGTGGTGAATGTCAAGACATTCTGCACCACACATTCACCGACAATCTGCCATCTCAGTTGCACTGAGGCGGCAGCCTCCAACCATTTCATCAGTTTACCTTAAGGCCAAAGGTTTTACTCGCCCATGTCCTCCGAATAAGTAAATGCGGTCCTCACAGGCAACACCACCACCTCAGTATTCCTCTCCCGCCTTCTTCGCGCCATTGAAAGCCACGCGGCGAACAACTCTCAGCCACCATATGCAGCGATGTGTTGCCTCAAAGACGTAATCAGGAAGAGGGAAGCTAGCAATCAGGGACTGGGAAGTGAGGTAGACGAATGAGAAGAGGGAGGACATGTCAACCACAACCTTACTGTTTTCGACGCCAATATGGAACATGTGACACGCAAAGTCAGGTGGAACTGCACCTGCAGCTGTCAGTGTGAGTTGATGAGGTGCTCTAAGACAATGCCAAACATGGATCCAACTCATCACCAACAAAGCCGCCTTCCTCCCCTCACACACCTCCCATAACTCTCGAAGCCTCTCCTTCCTCCTCCAAAACACGCACGATGAAACTGTCAACCACCACCCACTCGCATCTCGCAATCTCCTCATCCACATGCGTCCACAATCCGTCCTTCCAAAAGCTAGTCCGATCCGTACGGTAACAATTGTTTTAGTCAATCTCTACCCAGCTGACGCCCTCACCGCCACCACCACCACCAATGTACCGATGAAAGGAGCGAGTTTGGATAGCGAATTAGCTTGTTCGCCACGTAAAATGCACTACTCTGAGTGATAGAAAAGGGGACACCAATCGGCAAGAGAGACAAAGCATTAATGGCGATGCCGGTGGAGGAAGCACACAATTTTACATCGAAGACAGTGAAATTCCGATTGACCTTGTGAGAATGACAAGAAGAGCAACAGAAAGACATGTGTAGAGTGGAAGGTATTGCAACCGGTCGTAGCTAGCCCAGGAAAACAGAAAGGAGAAGACAACACACACTTCCCCATTCTTCTATGAGTGGATAAACAACATCTTTCTCGTTAAATTTCCATTTGTGGTCGCCATGCACGAGCTTCGAATATCATCTTTCTGTGCCAAACACCCTTCCGATTCCGTTTCGTACTTTCCCCCACAACACTCACACACATCCTATCCTCACGCACATCGTTCAATGCCTTTCCCACTGCCTTCAGCAACTGCAACTCCCCCATCATCTTTGTGACAATGTGAGTTACTCCCACTGAACACAACATCAATGCTTGTTCGAGTAAGTTGTTCCTTCACAATCACCTTCTGCGCGCATTCGCACACACGTTCGGTACAGTAGAGTGAGGTTGTTATTTGCCACAGAGACGCCCGTGACGTCGAAATGATGAACGTGGTTTTGCACTCATCACTTCGTTGATTGCTTTGACTTTCTCGGCATTGCAGTGCTGACAGCAGTTGCCACGCTGTCAGTCCGTAGAATCTGGCACTATCCTCCGAAGTGCAACAATGTGCTCGAAATACTGATTTTTGCACGTGGAGGCACTGTGGTGTGAGTTAATCAGTCCTCGTGGCTCCATCACTCACATAATTGTCCCTAATTTCTAGCCAAAAGGCGACCCACAAGAGAGTGGCTGTGCCACGACTATCGTCTAGACTTTGATGCGCGATCACCTCGACCCTCTTTGTAGGCCCTCCATGGGTTGTCAGAGTAGGAATCCCAACCAACTGCATCTCACTTGGATGTAAGTGCGAACCAGTTGAGCAATGAGCTGCGGACCCGTTCCAATGTGTGCTCAACGTCTTGCACTCCGACCAGTAGTCGCGACGGTTTCCGCGTACCAGTGAGATGCTTGCTCACCTTAATTTGCTTTGTCCGACATCCAAATCCGAATCGTCTCTCCTCTATTGCATAATCTGGTAGCAAAAATTGCCATTCTGAACGCCACCGCGAGTCACGCGTCTGAGATGGCATGCCACTGGAGGTGACGACAATTCAAGTACATTTGCCTTTACTCAACTTCTAGGAGGTGGCATTGGACAGCGCCCTACTGCGTGCCCTCTCCGAAGCAGGAGCCGTGACGTGGTTGCAAACACAGCGTTTGGATGAGTGCGAGATGCTCTCAAATGGAGTAGAGCCGTGCAAAGTGTGGAAGCAGTGCTTCGCACCAATCGATTGCAGTTAAAGTGAGCTGAAATCACTCACGTCGCTCCCATAAGAGGAAGGTGAACGAACATCTGACGGCGATCCCACCACCGCCACAACTACTGGTCAACATGCACCGCTTTGAGAGCGCACCGGAAGGCACTACTGGCACAGAGGGGGGGATGGTGGTTGAGGCGTAAGTGGGGAGTGGGCTAGTTGGGAGGCCATTAAAAGTAGTCAAGGAGAGGAGTGGGAGAGGAAGATAATCCCCTACTCCAGGTATACCAAGTGAATCTCGCGGATTCGCAACTCTTGAACCACTTGGACCACCCTCTTCAACCATAAATGCGCATTTGGAGGAAAGAGTGTTGTATTTACATCCCTCAACGAATTGAGACAGTAGATCAGCCATTGGGAGACACTTCAATCCCACTATCACTATGCACATTCGGCATGTGCACAAACAACCTACCCACCGTGCACAGCACCACGAGAGGTGTGCGACTGTGGTCAAACCACCAAGGCAGGTGCAATGACCGAGTGGGTGATGAAAGCTTACTTTTGTCAGCTTGTGGGAGGACCGAGAAGCTGGAGCTACTGATGCCGCTGATTTACTGCGGAGCAATACTTTTCCCAGTGGCGAAAATTCTCTCTCTCTCTCACTATCAGCCACCAAGTTGGGACTCTTGCGAGACAGTTGCAAAATTGCTGACAATCACACGTGGAGGCAGAATTTTAGGCAAATCAGTATGCCGCATTTGTCGTGTGGATTATTCAGTCACGATGTAGACCTACCACTGACTTGACAACGTCTCGCCTAGTTTCCACTTCCAGCATTCACTGTATCTGAAGAAACAGCAGCTGTCTGGTGAAGAGTGATGCTGTTGCAATTGCGATTGTCAATCAAATGGGGGAACAGTTGAACAATTGAAGCAATATGCCTGCATTAATCTCGCAATCAGACCAATAACAATCGAGATTGAAGTGGTGTTGCTTTTGTATATTTCACTCTTTCCACTCACTTCCTTCCTCCTCATCGTCTTCGCCTTCCGATTAAAGTGCCTCCTACGCTCACGGGTGGGAGCGAGGTGAGGATGTTCATGACAGCAGTAACAACCAGTCAAGGAGGTGCAGCAACGGAGTTGAGGATCGCCTAATTCCCGTCCTCCCCTCCCTCCCTCCCTCCCCTCTTTCCTCACTGTCCCTCCATCCGCCCGTGGTTAGGAGGTGATGAAGAGTCATGTGAGAACAGGCAGCCAAATAAATCCGTTTCCTGTCTTTCGCATTCTTCTCTCTACCCGCTTTCTCCTCCTCCTCCCTCCTACCCCTCTCTCCCAATTCGTATGTTTGACACTTTTGCTCGTCTGGTGGGTTGTCTGTATCGGCGCTATGTCAAGTGTGATTGGCATTTGTTATCGTCGACGTGGGGAGCGTCAACTTGTACCTACGTTGACTTGGCTTTTGCATTAGCGCAGAAATCCATGCTCACTTGCCCGATCGGCGTAATGGTGTGCTAAGGACAAAACGTGTGCTTCTTAGACGTCTCCTCGTCCACACAGACCGTTTTAGACCGTTGAATTTTGTTGTAAGAGGAGCAGTTTAAAGTGCACCACTTCTTTCCACCCTCACAGTCGGAGACCGCCTCAACACACAAGCATAAGAGACGGAAGACGGAGTTAGGGAGAAGGGAGAAGGAGAAGGAGGAGGGCGAGGAGCAGGACTGTAAAGAGGTGGACATTCCATCCAATTTTTACGCCAAATCGGCCCAATACTGGAGTGGTGTGGATGCAACTATAAGTGGAATGCTGGGTGGTCTGAGTGAAGTCCATGCACCCGATATTGCTGGCTCGAAGTCCATCCTCGATCGCTTCGGACCCAGTCTGCGAGAGTACGCGCTAGACTGCGGAGCTGGCATTGGAAGAATCACAAAAGACCTTCTGCTGCCCCACTTCACCACCGTGGATATGGTGGAAATGATGGAGAAGTTTCTCGATGCCTCCACAGCCTACATAGGTAGGCCCGACGTCGACCGTGTTGGCAACAAATTCTGCTGTGCATTGCAGCATTTCACTCCCCCGCAAGGACGCTACGATGTAATTTGGGTGCAATGGGTGATCGGTTATTTGACTCTGTCTGCAACGGTTGAGTTTCTGCGCCGTTGTGTGACAGGCCTGAGGTCCTGCGATTGCGCAGCTACGGCTACAGCTGCAGTTCCAACGCGTCGATCAGTGATTGTGCTAAAGGAAACTGTGTTTTGGGGCGCGAAGTCCTATTATGATAAGAGGGACAGCAGTTTCATGCGAACACATGATGAGCTGTTGGAGGTATTTCGGAAGGCGAAACTCCGTGTGCTGCTGGATGAGAAGCAAACTAACTTGCCACGCCACATTTGTCCAGTTTATGCTTTTGTGCTAGTCCCTCAGGACGGCTAGAGTGCCCAGTTTCGTTGACATCGAAATTATTTTGGGCCTAAATACATATGCTTGCCATGTTTTTCAATCGTTGTGTTTTGTTTGGGTACTGTGGAGACGGTAATTGGTTGAGAAACAGAGACAGTCTACTGAAGTCGCACGAGTAGGACGTGTGGTTAGGTCAGGTAAAAAGGCGTAGGGATCACAGCTCTCCCAACATTTAACTAATGTTTCGTTCAACTTGGTCCCTCCACCCACGAAGATGTGGAACATGGCATTGCGCTGCTGTCCTGGCTTTTATTGTTCGTCGGTCTGGCGACGTGCA